CAATCAGTGGCAGTAATGACAGAGCATGCGCTGTTACGCAAAAACCGCGGAAGTCGAAGCGCGAAGTGGCGAGGGTTCACTGTATATTGTTGACTTAACACTGAACTTGTGTCCAAGTACTACAACCTTATGCCTGAAGGAAACTTATGACATATACTTTCTCATATCACAGCCTGTTTTCAAGTAGGGAGGAACAGTAAGTCATACGCAAATTCACACATTGCATTATTCTTAACACAAAATACCTAGAATATCTATCGACTTGCCAGGATCTGGTGGAAGGAGTATGGAATTTAATTTTGAGGAGATAAAAATGTCTTGAAACTAGATGGTGGTTGCCTATTACTCCATGCCAGTTGCTGTAATAATGAATTCTACCTTAATCAAAAAATAATTTAGTTGCTATGACTAAACCCCACTTACTAATCTTGAGCTAATTCCTTCATAAACTTTTTTTTATAATTAACAACAAAGAGGCACCTCCTAAGAACTGTACAAGGGGCTGCAAGAAACTTAAGGGAAAATGAAATGTAAAGATAGAATTTTTGAAGTCCCTTTGTATTTTATGTTCTGATACTAAAACCTAGCATGTAGTTTTAGAACTCCTGAGAAATACTAGTATACCATGACAACACCCTACAGGAATGAAGGGGAAAAATCGATATTCTCAGACAAAAACTTTTCTGAAGACCAATCCTGAAAGAATGGCCAAAATTCTCCAAACAAAGGGAAATGATAAAAATAAACGTTGGGCCAAGAAAAAGGAATAGCATAAGCAAACATACCTACTCCCATTGAGCTGGTTCCAATCTACTGCAACTGCATAGGACATACATTAAAACTGCCTCAGGTTTCTAAGTCTGCAATATTTATGGAGGCAGACTGCTACATTTTTCTCCTTTGGAGCAGATGATGGGCTTGAACTACCAACCTTTCATTTTGTAGCTGAGCACTCCACTGCACCATTTGAGCTCCTTAAGCAAAAATATGGGTAAATTCAATAGGCAAAAGCTTTCCTTTTGAGTTTTAAAATATGGGTAGGGCTCAAGACATGGATATTTAAATTTTAATTCCAACTTCCCATGAACTTTTAAAAAACCTTGTTTAAAATAACTAAGTGTATGAGAGGGATTCAAAAAGTTCACAGAAAAATGGAATTAACAAATAGTGGAATTTTCCCAAATTTTGAAGCCCTTGGGTATGTTATAAATGGGTAAGGCCAGCATACAGATTCCAGTAGACTGATAGATAAGTTATGTAACAATGCCACACCTAGAGCAATTAATGAAGCAGTGCACTAAAAAATACAGGTAATTCATGCAGTTCTAAAAAGTAGCCCTATAATCCATAAAAAAAGGACAAGGAACACAAGGTTTGTTTATATATTTATTTTCTTTTTTAACATTTTATTAGGGGCTCATACGTTATCCCAATCCATACACACATCAATTGTGTAAAGCGCATTTGTACATCATTTCTCAAAACATTCTCTCTCCATTTAAACCCCCAACATTAGGTCCTCATTTTCCCCCTCCCTCATGAGCCCTTGATAGTTTATAAATGGGTATTTTGTCATATCTTGTCTTGTCCGACGTCTCCCTTCATCCACTTTTCGGTTGTCTGTCCCCCAGGGAGGAGGTCACACACAGTTCCATGTA